CAGAAATACAGATCTATATAGGTATACAAACCATAAACGAGAGATATTATACCCATATTTTTGAAAAGAACAGGTTCCTTAATCATAAAATACTGCATTATAATCTACCTTGTGTATTTACACAGTGACTCTGCAGACTGTGGAATGCACACAACTGATAATGCCACATTACATCTATCAGTATAGCTTTATCATGTGCATTCCACATGTACAAACCAATGTCCTGAGCTTTTAAAACTACAGAAAGCACTACCTGCAATAAACTGGTACTTTGACAAAGTCTTCTACCAAGTTATCCTTATGTTTTCTCTCTCTTCTTCTGTTAGATGAATCTGCACACTACAATGAATTCTCATCAATTTGAATTGTTCCCCACCACCACCACTCTTGTGCATCACAGTATCAATGCTTTCACTTAGCTGAAACTGTGACTTCTGGAAACATGTCAAATCTTGCAATATAAATATATCTATGCAGATTTACTTTATTGCCATAAAAATATTCCCATCAGTCAACTGGGATTGCCTCAAATAAAACATGTACATTTTTTCTTGAGGAATGGGGGAAATTATACTTATTTCCAAATCTTTACCAACAGGTAGCAAGAATGCTTGAAGGAAAAACTGTTTCAATAGCTTTCTAATGGTAGTTTAGGGAAATTTCCCCCTACCTCCAAAAAAACATTTTGATGGAATGACCAAACAAGGATGTTCACCATTACATTACAAAATTCAGCTACCATTATGGCATTGCTGTGAAGTACAGATTGATATTATTATTTACTGTTTCCCCCCTAAGCCACTGGCAATGGTGCGGCTAAAAATATTTTAAATAAATAAATAAAATAAGACAAGGTCTTATATTAATTTTTGCTCCAAAAATGCATTAGGGCTTATTTTTCAGGGGATGTTTTATTTTATAGTCATGTCATCTTCTGGTTGCTGCACAATGTGGCACAATGGTGGAGGGCGGGGTTTCACTTAACTAGGGCTTATTTTTAGGGCAGGGCTTATATTATGAGCATCCTGAAAAATCATACTAGGGCTTATTTTCAGGTTAGGTCTTATTTTCGGGGAAACAGGGTATAAGAGTTCTCAACAGTTTTTTGTCACTTTATCTCATACGCTGCTGTAATATTTGGGGCACTTGCAAAGATCCTTTCATGTAACCCATGACCTACCAAATGGGTAGGAGACTTCACCCAAGCAATGCCAAACTTTTAAAATCAATGGGAATACTGTGGGATGAAATCACTGCAAGCAGGCTCTATGTCACTGTTCCAAGAAGTCTAGTGATTTCTTAGTTTTATTTTTTACGTATTATGTGACCTCGAGCAGCCCTGTTAACGTTTATGGTTACACACAGTTGCAGAGTTGAGAAGACTGAATATAAAATCACATTTAGCACTCTGATTTCCCTAGTCTAGCAGTACTATGCAACAAAGTAAGAAACTTATTTCTCATAAAATAAGGAGGGAAACATGTGGCGCTGCAGGACAAACCGCTGAAGCCTCTGTGCTGCAAGGTCAGAAGACCTGCAGTCGTAAGATCGAATCCACGCAACGGAGTGAGCCCCCGTCGCTTGTCCCAGCTCCTGCCAACCTAGCAGTTTGAAAGCATGCAAAATGCAAAAATGCGAGTAGATAAATAGGTACCACCTTGGTGGGAAGGTAAATGATGTTTCATGTCTAGTCACGCTGGCCACATGACCAAGGAGGATTGTCTGCAGGCAAACGCTAGCTCTATAGGTTGGAAACGGAAATGAGCACATGACTGGACAAATTGTCAAGGGGAACCTTTATGGTTGGTGGACCTTTGGGTTCTACTAAAACAATGAAGTAAACCATAAAAACCTAAACTCTGGCTACTGATGTAATTGTTATTTTCTTAATGGATGCCAGGAACACAAAAAGACTATCATGAAATGTAAAACCTCAGACAACGGGAGGCAGAATGGTTCCTTTTGCCTACATTCCATCCAGAAACAAAAGCCCACAAAACTCTGCCAAGAAGTCACCGTAAACACAGCTGTGACTTTATATTAAGCCTGTCAAGCTGTGTTGCTTCTGTCCGACCCCTCCACCCTATTCTGCTGCAACATGAACAGACACAACATCCTAAATGGGAAAGCTAGATTCCTACTTTTCTTTTTCTATCACATGTCATTTAGTTACAAACTCACACAGCTCCTTTTATACATGGTTCTAAAGGGAACGTTCACATTAAAACTAGAGGAAGGGCACCCTCACAGGCAATATATACCTAGAGGTTTGACTCCTGTAAGTGATTTATTAAAATGACATAAAGCCATTCCAGATCCAGCATTTTTTCTCCAAAATGTACATGTTCTGTTAATCACCAGTATTCTTCCTGAGGAATGTAACACATGCTGGAGGACACTCTTGAGAGTCCCCTGGACTACAAGGAGAACAAACCTATCCATTCTGAAGGAAATCAACCCTGAGTGCTCACTGGAAGGACAGATCCTGAAGCTGTGGCTCCAGTACTTTGGCCATCTCATGAGAAGAGAAGACTCCCTGGGAAAGACCCTGATGTTGGGAAAGTGTGAAGGCAAGGAGAAGGGGAAGACAGAGGACGAGATGGATGGACAATGTCATTGAAGCTACCAACATGATTTTGACCAAACTCCAGGAGGCAGTGGAAGACAGGAGGGCCTAGCATGCTCTGGTCCATGAGGTCACGAAGAGTCAGACATGTCAACGACTAAACAACATTCTTCCTTCCATCCAAATGACATAAAGCTTCTCTTGGTATGTCCCAGTACAACATCAGCTCAAATCCATGCTTTTCTGTGCCTTCCTAAAGTCTGGTTTGTTTTTGTTGTAGTTTGTCATATTTGTATGTGTATATGTATGTGTGTGTGTGTGCAATTCAGCACTATGGTATGTTCCTCCTGATCATTTTGGCAGTCTCAGCCTCCTTGTTGGAACTTTCACTTTGCAGCTAAAATCCAACTGGTGTTCACATAAGAACTGTGTTATTTCTCAAGGCTAATTGCAACTAACTGATGAAGTGTTAGGGTATGTCTTGATCGTGTGCCTGCTCATGTGGCTTATTGTGCCACTGAGATGTGTCCCAATACCTTGTCCATTAGCAATATTTAGCTGAATCAAGTTGTGCAAACCTTATGCAAACTCCTATAGGATTTCTTTCAGTTAGGTAAAGGTAAAAAGGTTCCCCTTGACATTTAGTTGAGTTGTGTCCGACTCTAGGTCACGGTGCTCATCCCCGTCTCCAAGCCGCAGAGTCAGCATTTGTCCATAGACGTGGCCAGTGCGACAAGACATGGAATGCCGTTAGCTTCCCACCGAGGTGGTACCTACTTGCATTTTTACATGCTTTCGAATGGCTGGGTTGGCAGGAGCTGGGACATGCGACGGGAGCTCACTCTGTCGCGTGGATTCAATCTTACGACTGCTGGTCTTCCGACCTTGCAACACAGAGGCTTCCGTGGTTTAACCCGCAGCGCCACCACATCCCTTATTCCTTTCAGTTAGTACCAGTTAAAAAAAGGTTTGAGAAGAAAAAAAAATGGGGAAATGGTTATTTTTGCACATTTATTAAAGGACTTGAAGATCTACCTACAAACAAGCAGTTTTCTGTGGAGCTGCTTTTGTCAAGCGAGGTTTGAATGCAAACCCCAGCATGTCCCATGGTCACCCACAAAAAGCCAGAAGAAAAGAAAGTGAAAACATTCCCCCATCTGGAAGAACCCTCAGATAACAAATGGCTACTCTTTAACATCCTTTGAAACCACTGTGATTTAATTTGCTCACAATTCTCACTGATTTCAAGGGTGTTATTCACCAATAAAGATCTATGGATTGGACGCTAAATCGGCTAATTGACATTTGATACAACATGCAGGGATTTTTTTACTACTTTTTGTTGTGCAAAGCAAATATACACCTGCTAAATTTTATTTGGAACAAGAGGAATGTAACACATGCTCCACATATGATCCAAAATCTGTGTATCTGACCCCTTAATGTTTGACTTCAACAATTTCTTGAGTGAGGTGCAGGAAAAAAAAATAAGATCCAGGTTTTATTTTTTTTTTATATGAAACCCTTTTAAACTACCTCTTCATATTTCTGTGAAGTGTTTTTTGTGGCATCATAAAATGGCCACACTGTACCTTTAAATCGGACACAGTCAACCTATGGTGGTGTAGTAGCAATGACCATCCCTTAAATGCATGAGGGCCTGCACCTGTTGCTACCAAAATTCAGTATGAAGTGGCAAAAATCAGTTTTCAGTTAAAACGTTTGCCATCATAATCAGTGAAGTCAATCTCACAGCAGCAGAACCAAAAAAAGGAAAAAAAGAACACCAGTTTCATTTCAAAACAAAGTATGTACAGGGAAAACATGCCTGGTTTTAGCACCAAACTGAACATTTGTGGGCATAACACAGCTTTAAAGCAAGGCTTGTGCTCCCAATGCATTTTATTTTAATGTGTGGCTTTTTTGGTGCTGTTACTCTGCCAAAATTCAGCTAAACAGTGGCAAATCTGCCACTCATGGAATACTGTTATATATGGATAATAATTCTTACTTTCACACTTCACTCCCACTAAAGAATTATGGCGGTCTGGCTAAAACCTTGTTCAAATACAATGAATCTGGAACCAACTAACATGAATTACTTTATACAAACAAGATAGAAAGTGAAAGAAAATCTCCAGCTGCACTGTGAATATAAACATCCTGTTGAATGGGCAAACCAGAAGTTACAATAACAAAAACCAGTGTCTCCTTATTATCTGAAGTGAAAGACTTCAAAAAAGCAAAGATGGAAGGCTTCTCATTATTTTCTCTTTCACAACTTACATCCAACACACTTAACTCAACTTTTTTTTTCTTTTACTGCTCAAGACGTTCCATGTTTTCCCACCCCCTTTTCTCACTTCTGCCCTGGCAGTCAGTCAGTAGATTCTTTGAGTGTGTTAAAATGCTGCAATCTGTGAAGTATACTTACTCAGAGCCCTTGCTGTCGCTGCCATTCACAGAGCTAGTGTGTTGCTCGCTTAGAATCTGGATCCCTAAGGACCTGACAGCTCGCACTAGAATAGCTTCCACTGCCTCGACGGAGAGCTTCTCAAGAACAATAACACGACAGCGGCTCAGAAGGGCAGAATTAACTTGGAAAGAAGGGTTTTCAGTGGTTGCTCCAATCAGAGTCACAGTTCCACACTCGACGTGAGGAAGGAAAGTATCCTGGCCATGGGAGGAAAACAGAAAAAATTGGTCCCAATCAATGACAACTTCAGGCATCCCATGTGAGTGAACGACAATCTTTTTGTTTTTTTTCATGGCGTCTCTTGGTTTGGATGTTCAGCTAACATGGTGTTAAGATATTTTGCTGACCACCTATCCTTCATTCATTTCATATCTCATGTGCATGCTTGCAGGGACTGGCTCAGCTATCCTTGTCACCAATATTGAACTATACTACCAAGTGAGTTCTGAAGGTGTAACTTGCTTTGGCAATTCATGCCTTATCATTTGGAAATCATTAACTAGGCAAATCTAAATTATGCAAAATGGCTGTGTTAACAAATAGACATCTTTGGAAGTTCTCCCACTTCCCATAAGGATTGCTTAGAGAAACTATAAACTACCATGTGTGTATCTGAATGTGTGTGTGTGCTCACACACACACACGTTATATGCCATCAAAGTATGTAAGATATTTAAGGAGTGGTTTGCCAATGCACACGCATGCACCATGGGTTTCCAGGGCCAAGGTGGGATTTGAACCCTGGTCTCCTGAGTCCTAGTGCATCACTATATCCACTACATCATAGCGGCTCTCACACAGTGCAAAGTACAATTCTGATACTTGAAAGTTGTTTTCACTTTGAAAGGTTCATTATACACTTTTAGAATATTACTATAACTTTTTCTTTATTCATGAACAAACATTTAATGCATGTTTTGTCAATATGAACATCTGTTTCTGCCCAAAGTTCTCATATGCTACTCTAGCTGCAAAACTGAAATGATAGAAAAGGAAATGTAAGGCAAATTGGAAAAGAACCAAGTAATGATCTCTTTAAAACTTTGCCTCACCCTCACCATCCATGCTTGGAAAAGATGCTTTTGGCATTTGTTAGTGGAGTAGGTGAGTATTTTAAAATGTTGGAGTGCTTGCCAAATTCCTAATCCCAAGGCCTTAAAGTAGAGTGCTGCGTTCTTACTACTGCAAAACAAACTTTAAGGCAGTAAGCAAAGAGAGGATCAAAACCACATTTCCAACTCAGTTTAAAGCAAGTATAGTTTCTAGTCTTAAAACATACTGTATCTAAATGTGTAGTATCACAGGTCAGCCTTCAGTCTCTACATGTGCTCAGTTACAGCACCCATTATCCCCATGCAGCAATGCACCATTGACTGTGTTGTCTGGAGATGATGGAACCTATAATCCAACACATCTGATGGACAACAGGTTAGAGAAAGAGGTATAGTGGACCAAGGATAGGGCTTGGACCAGGAAGACCTGCATTTAAATCCCTGATTACCTGGTGACATTGGGCCAGTTACTCTCTTTGAGCCTAGCCTACCTTACAACACTGAAATGGGTAGCTACCATATACATTGTCTATTAGTCCTCAGAGAAAAGGTGGACAACAATTGAAATTAACAGATGCCAACAGAAGCATCAGATTGATTTCAAAGCATATCATACAAGAACCAGGGGAAACTGTACTTGGGCCAGCCTGTACCTGCTGTGACTTGTTGAAACGGTGGATCTCGTCAATAAAGAGGATGGTCTTCCTCTTGCAGAGTCTCTTTTCATTTTGAGCTTGGGAAATGACATCTCGCACATCAGCGGTTTTGGCACTTGTAGCTGACAATGTCACAAAGCGTGTGCCATTCTTCTTGCTGTTATTTGCAATGATATGTGCCAAAGTTGTCTGAAATTTTAAAAAGGAGAATATATGTAGATTGTGCTTTTAGCATACAAAATGTTTGATCAAAAGACATGGAGGAGCAGAAAACCATCTGGGAATATTAAAAGTCAAAACAGTTGTGTTTGCCTCACAGAAAAGAACATGCCAAGATTTTTTTTTCACTTTAGTCTTGGGAACAGAGATGTCATTTTGATGTATTTGAATACAGTGGTGCCCCGCTAGACACTTACCCCGCATGACGTCGAAATCGCTGTACGATGCCTTTTTGATACCGCTATTGTGATCGCAAAACGCTGGTTCCTATGGGATATTTTCAGTTTACGATTAGGAGCCTGCTTCGCGAAACATTTGTTCCCTATACGATGCTTTTTCCGGCTCCGCAAAATGGCTTCCCTCTGCAAAATGGCTTCCCTCCCTTCGCAAAATGGCTGCTTTCCAGACCTCTGCTTCGCAAGACCGGGATTTTAAACAGCTGATCGGCGGTTCTCTATGGGCAATCCTCACTAGACAATGAGGTATTTCCCCATTGGGACGCATTGACCGGTTTTCAATGCATTCCAATGGGGATTTTTTTTTCGCTGGACAATGTTTTCGATCAACAGTGATTTCAGGAGAACAAATTATCATTGTGGTGTGGGGCACCACTGTAATTTAAAAGGTATTGTCATCCTGGCTGGGGATGTGGGTCAGGAAAAAGAAATTCAGATCGTCCATCCTTAGCTGGGATCTTAAAAAACTATTTTAGCTCTTGAAAAATCAGTGAGATTTTTAGACGGCCCTTCCATTTAAACAGCTGGCTGGATAGCTCCATGAGTTATGCATCTGGCTGCGGAGCCAGAGGTTGGGAAGCTCAATTTCCCACTGTGCCGCCTGGGCCAGCCTGTGTCGCTTTGGGCAAACTGCACTGTCCCCGGGTACGCACAGGGGAAAGGAATGGTAAAGCACTTATCTGAGTACTTTATACCTAGAAAACCCTGAAAACAGTTGCCATAAATCAGAACTTACTTGACGAGACACAGTATTTCCACTTAAACTGGCTGGAGGAGCATAAACCCAACACCCATTGATGGAGAACTACTGCAACCATCTGGTAAAGGGAATTATTACCTCAAAGAGAGTAGTGTTCTACCCTTTTTTTACCAGGAAGGTAATTACTAGCCTAAATCACACAGCTTTAAAGACTGATGACATAATATACATGGCAGTCTTTTGAGCACTAAATGAAGCATACCGTAGTATTCCTCTTCAGCTTAATACAGTTTATTTCAATAAACTTGCTAATCCAAAGGTTGTGTGTGTTGCCTTAGGCTATTTCCTTGTTAACTAACTCCTGGCTTCTACAAATGAAATATAGTAAGTGCCCTTCACTGGCAGCCAGACAAACAGTTGATTTATCTTAAAGGTTGCGCCTTTTGCCCTCCTGTCTTTGCCTTCTTGAAAGGGCACGTTATTACCATATGAAAGAGATTATTCATGGGGTACCACGGGGCTCCACCATTTCAGACTCACCACGGTGAAAGCAGTCACTGCCCTTGCTGCATTTTTTAAAGTTAATTTACAGCTCGTCCTATTTTTGCCAACTGCAGCCAGCAATTGGAATAAAGAGTTCTGGTGGTCTTCCAGGTGGACTGGCATACCTGGTTGCTTCACTGATCTTAATATGGTGGGTTACATGCCATATACGCATGATTACTATCTTACAACTAAATCTTTTTAGACGGCTTGGGTGTTCATTCTGCAATAAAATATAAGATACCATGTAATAGAGAAAAGATGTGACCAATTAAGATTTTCTGGCAGTAAAACAGAAAACAAACTCCACATTTAAAATTCACACAGCACCACCACTATGCCCTGCATTGTGTAAATTATGAAATCTTGTTCATGACAATGGTATCTTTTTAGTGAACTAAAAGAAGTGGGGGGGGGGACAATGCTAATCAGTGTTAGCCAGTTCTCCCAATGGTGAGAGACTCTGGGGTTTGTGGGCCAACAAAATCTGGAAGGGTACAAGATGTCCACTCCTGATCTAGAAGCACCCATCCTTCTGGGAGCACCTGTTACCCAGTGCAGCGAGATTACTCTTTTGCAGAACACAGTAAGAATATTTGCATTGCCCTTTGAAGTGTTCAATGCATACTACATGAATTAATTAGTCATGATCCCTACAGCAACACTGCTAAGATATTATTATCCCCTGTAGCAGAAGATGGAAGCTCAGGCAGAAATTCACAGCAGAGGTGAGATTCAAATTTGAAACTTTTTTGAATGGCTGGGTATCTTTAAGCACTAAAGTTACCCACCTCTCATCTCCTACCACAGTCTTGTTCCTCTCCTCTTCCGTAACACTCCCAATACAGTTCTTGCATTTGTAAGAATGTTCTAAAGGGGAAAAATTGCCAACATTTGTGCCTAAAATGCCAGCTTTAGTACTAATCTGATTGCCTATTCTAGTAGAAAACTTACTGCCTGTTTTGGTGCAGAACTGCACAAATCACGACTGTACTAAGTGCCCACAACCAGACTGGCTACTGCTTTATTTAACCATTTAAAGCACCAGATGGGTTGTCTGTATCTTTCTCAACTACTAGTCAGTCTTCCCATGCTTGCTGTTTGTGCATGTTTCACTTCTTAGTGGGAGAGGACACTAGAGACGTTGAATGCAAATTGCAGAAACCTTAAGGGTTGGGGGGGATTGGGGGAGCTCTTTGCCTTGTTCTTGGCTGGAGGCAAGAAATCACACAGCCTTTAAAATGCGTTGTTGAGATTTCCTATCCTGTTAAAACACCCTAAGTAGATACGAAAATAAGGGTTTTTGAAAATACTCTTTCCATCTTTCATCAGGAGTGGGCAACCTGTGGCCCTCCAGATGATGCTGGACCACAACACTCACCGTCCTGCATCAATGACTACCAGCCAGATCTCACAGGAATAACGGTCCATTGATACTTGAAAGTCTACAAGTTCTCTGTGCTGGTTTACATTGATTAGTAGTGGCTTTTCCACTTACCTTAAGACTTTGGACATGCAAAACATGTCTTCTTCCAATGGCAGGGGGTGTGGCAAAAGGAAGTAGAAACTAAGCAGAAGGACAAAGAGACAGCCCCAGAAAGCCATCTTGCCTCTCAGCTCTTCCACTAATTCAGTGCAACCTTCTAAAAGCAGTCATTTCCCCATTTTTTTTACTCCTTGCCCTCTCCACAATTTCCTGAATTCTCCTTCCATTTTTAACTGATAGGGAGTGTGGGGGATGTCTTCATAATAGCACACCTTTTCTTTAGAAAAACATTTTTTTAAAAAAAATGCTGGTCAAGCTTTTCTATCATAGCAATGCACAGAGGGAGGGCAGGGCATGCAAGGAGACAAGCAGCAAAGCACATGAGGCATGTAGATCACTGGCAAACACCACCCCCCCATGATTTGCATGCAGGAGGTCACAGGTTCAATCCCCAGCATCTCCATCTTAGGCTGGGAAATACCTCGGTGTAGAACCTTGCACAGTACAGACAATAGTGACCCTGAGGGAGCAGTGGTCTGACTCAGTGGAAGGCTGCTTTCTATGTTCCACTGCCATCAGCTTTGTGTCAGATAGATAGATAAGACATACAACTTCTAGAATCGACAGGGGTTCTAAGTTGTAATCCCCAAAAGTGATGTTTTCCGAGTACCGTATTAGCACATTTTTAAAAAGTCTCCAAATCAAGTGAGATAATAGGTCACACACAAAGCTTCCACACTACAATAAGTTAAAAGTTACATACTTTCTACACACATGACAATGGCGTTGTCTGCTTATACGCCACCCCATGGCGTTTAAAGCACTCTCTGGGTGGTTTACAAGTTAATCATGCAGTCTACACATTGCTCCCCTAGCATGCTGGGTACTCTAGAACAGTGGTCCCCAACCTTGGGCCTCCAGATGTTCTTGGACTTCAACTCCCAGAAATCCTGGCCAGCAGAGGTGCTGGTGAAGGCTTCTGGAAGTTGTAGTCCAAGAACATCTGGAAGCCCAAGGTTGGGGACCACTGCTCTAGAAGGCTGAGTCAACCTTAAGCTGGGATTGAATCCCGATCATTAGCGCAGTTTTGGCTGCAGTACAGCAGTTTAACGACTGCACCACAAGGCTTTTATCAACAACAGGGGGAAAGGATATACAATGATGTCTGGTAATCACTGTCTGAATTTCCTGGAATGGACAAATGTTGGCAATCAAGGAAGAAACTTCCAGCGTGGGAGTACCTATTAGTTAATTCTTCATCTGATAGGCAGATACATTGTAGTAAGACTAGGAAGAGGACACTCCTCAACTGAGCCACAAGCATTTTCATTGGAACAGGTGTAAGGAAGCAAATATCTGGACAGGAAATACTTCAGAATTTTTTATAGAGAGCCTTTGAGAATGTGGCAAGATATTGGAGAGAAGGAGCACAATTCCTATATTTTGTTTTTATGACTTTGCTGTGTAATTTGGTCAGGATAGAGGCAAAAAGATGTAGACCTGATGAATATAGGCTTATACCCCATTTCCAACTGAGTTGCATCAACCATATGGTGTGATCAGATGGCAATATAGGACCTTGTTTGATCACATTGGAAAGGGTCATTATGCTGGGCATGGTCTTCCCAAAAATGAACCTTCCATGCACACAGGAATCACTCCAGCCCAGTTTCAAAACAAGAGTAGCCCTACTACTAGAACAAAAAAGTCTGGATTGGGCATGGCTCAGGGTAGGGATGGTTTGCAATTTCCTGTATGTCATCTGGGCACCCGAAAAAAGCTCACATTATAGAGTAGCCCTACTACTGGACCAAAAAGGTCTGGATTGGGCATGGAGCAGGGTAGGGATGGTTTGCAATTTCCCGTATACCATCTGGGCACCAGAAAAAAAGCTCACATTATACCATGTCACAAACCATCCACCCATGTCACAAGCCATCCAAAACACAAGCTACACTACCATCTGATCACAACCACAGATTCAGCTGAGTAGCCTAAGTGAAGT